CTTTTTTTTTCCCAACTTAAAAAAAAAACCCCAATAAAGGGTGGTAAAAAACCAAAAGGAAAATTAAAAAGGCTACTGCAGTAACTATGCACAGGCTGTATCTATAATTATTGTATGAGAGGATTTTAAATGCTAATCAGGATTTTTGATTTTTACGAAAAGATGTGCAAAAGGTAGAAAGAAAATAGAATCTTTGACTTTTTCGTATAAGTTATAGACTTTTTAAGAGCTCAAAAGTTATATTTTTAACTTAGCATATTTATATTTTGGACGACCTAAAACATATACTTGGCATCCACCAAAGACGCGACACATAAAAGCAGAATAAATTAAATGGCTAAAGTGAGACATTAAATGTAAGAGGCGATGAAAATAAATGGCTCTCAAGAAAATAAGAAGAATACATATGAGGTTAATAGCGAATTGGCTCAATCTTCAACATTTTGTAGACCATACTCTCTATTAATCTCCTAATGGTAATGGAAATGCTCTTGCGGACATAGTGTTGCTCATAAGCTACATAATATAAGCTCCTTCATTTCGAAACAGACCCTCTTAGTGTTTAGCCTTGGAAATGGTAAGTTTACCATAGTGGGAAGTTAAATTGAGTTTTTTTATGAGTCTATCTTTTACAACGATGTATTTTAGTTTATTAATTCAGGTTTTTATTAATGTTTGATTATGTATTATAAAGGCGTATGAATATTGTAAAAATTAGAGATCGAATAATATAGAAAAAAATGAATAAGATATAAATGTGGAAGAAAGGACAGATTGGGGGAAATAAATGCATAGAGAGAACTTCAAGAGGTATACATATAGTTTTTTCTAACTCGCAACTTAATACTCTCAATGCATTTAAAATAGACTTGCAGTCTTGTGTGTTTGATTATGGTAAACTATAACACCAGCACCGAAGAAATGTAAAGGTGAGTGAGAATAACTGGCGTTTATTGTGTAACCCCTAACAAGGAAATATGGTAAGTTTTCCCCCAAAAAATATCCCCCCGGATTGAGAATTATTTACTACGGGAGTTAGATATTATTAATTAAAGCTATAACAATACAGACTGTAATCACAGCTATTGTGTTGTGACAAGTGGAAAATCTCTAATGAGATACATCTTCTCTGCCAACCTATTTAGATGTTAGGTCTGTCATAGGATCGGTCCCACAGGTTGCCGCCGCTCACTTCCACTCGCTTAGACCGGAGGACTGTACAAAGGTCATTAGGCGTCAAAAGGGTTGATGTAATATTTTGTCTTATTAACTATTTTAACCTATTTTATCATTTTGTAAATTTTAGTCCAAAAAATCAAAAAATGCCTTTACCAAACACCCCCAAATGTAACTCGCGCCTGAACCCAGCCTCACCGAACTCAAAATTTGTCCACCCTGATTAATACAACTCATCACTAATACTATATTTTGCTAATTATGTTCTAATAGCCAAAATAATTCAATGATTAGATCCTACATCCTATACTCTCAAATTAACTTCCCGTTGACTATCAAAGGCCAAGAACGACGTTGTTCTAAATTGGGCCATGGAGGTGGTCTTCCGTTTAAGCTCTTTATTTTCAGCCTTCAATGCGCCTATCTCTGCTCGTACATCCTTTTACATGCGCTGGAGCAGAGAGAGTTGGGCGTTGACCTGATGGAGCTCACTCGTCCTGTTCTGCAGTTAGTGAGCAAATTTTGTGACTGCAATCACTGTCTCCATACAGAACGTTAGTGTGAAATGATTGACTTTAATGTCTGATTGAGCTGTCATTGTTTGCTCAATCGATATCATAGGAAGGTTGGGAAGAGTAAGAGCCAGGGCACTCGGCCCAGCAGCGCTTACAGGATCATTCAGGTCCGGAAATAGCGTAAGGGAATGGAACGAGGCCATGTAGTAGGAGAGAGAGATGTAATTTAAAGAAGGGTCATTTTTGGCAGCCTTTTTGCTCTGCTTAGTCTCTCTGTTCTATCTCTCTCATGCAGAAGAAGAAATAGATGGAAGCGAATGAGGAAGAAGAAGACGGAGGAGAAGAAGACAAGAGGGAGAGAGCGCCGAGGCAGTTGATTGACCCGTCTCGCTTTTGTCAGTCAGCTGACGCAAAAGCGAGGCCGCGTGTTCGACGCGATTTTCAACGAAAAAGAGAGGCGCGGGCGATTCATATATATATATATATGTGTGTGTGTGTGTATATGTTTTGATTCTCTATTTTTTGATGCCATTAATGGTATAGGTTTTTCTCCTCCTCCTCCTCTTCTTCTTCTTCTTTTCTTTTATATAATGGTATAGTGTTTTTTTTTTTTTTAAAGTTCAAATTCGAAAATCATTAGTAATTAAAAAACCCATAATTAGAAAAAGTTTGGAGAAATTAAAATAATCACCCCATAATGAGGGAGAAATAACCGCCTTATGGGGGTTGAAACATTAATGGATACAATTAACAATAAAAAATTGAAAATTACAATTTAAATAATAAATTTAAAATTTAATATTATAAATATCAAATAATTTGTTTTAATTCAACATATAAATTTTTATTAAATAATTTTTCAACTTAAAAAATGCACCATTTAATTTTTAGTACTTAGAGCTCATTTGACAATATCATAAATAAATTGCTTATTGATTTCTTGGCCTCGTTTGAAAATATGTTATTTTGGTAGCTTTTTAATTTTTTTGTTAAAATATGAGGTAAAAAAATTAGTATATTATAAAAAAATATGTAAAAAGTAAAGAGGAAATAGAGTTTTTGACTTTTTAATATAGGTTGTAACTTTTTGACTTTTAAAACCAGTGAATTGCCAAACGAGATCTTATTTCTATCACATTATCATTTTACTTTTCTACACGTCTTGTTTTTTGGTATAATTTATAAGTTGACTTTTTTGTTTATTAAGGCCTCGTTTGGGGAGTGGCTATTTTAGCCAAAAAGTCAAAAAGTTATTAAAAGTTGTCACATCACCTCTCTACTTTTCTGCACATCTTTTCGCAAAAAGTCTAAGGCCTCGTTTGGGAACAGGCTATTTTAGTAACTTTTTGACTTTTTGGCTAAAATATGAGGTAAAAAAACTAGTATATTTGGGATAACTTTTTGATTTTTTACGAAAAGATGTGCAAAAGGTAGAAAGAAAATAGAATCTTTGACTTTTTCGTATAAGTTATAGACTTTTTGATTTTTTTAATAACTTTTTGACTTTTAGACTAAAACAACTACTTGCCAAACGAGACCTAAGAAAAGATATACATAAGAGATGATATGATAGAAATAAAATAATAAATTAATAAGCAACTTATTTTTATTATCTCCAAAAGAAGCCATGTCATATCCAAAATAACTCTTAATCAAACATTACCTTATACCCTAGTTAAGAAATTCCATTTTTTATACATCTTTTACACATTTTAATATTAATATCATTTTTTATAAATTTTTTTACACATTTTCTAAAATTAACAATTAATGTTGACCATGAAAAC